CTTTTTAAAGATATGGTGGGAGGGGAGGCCAGTGATGGTGGTCTCACAAGGGGCAGCGGCTGGTCACTCAGCGAGTCCCCAGAGGCCTTGGCCATTGGCAGGTGACCCAAGGGGGTAGCAGTCCCCCGAGGGGCAGCAACAGACCATGAGGGTCAGCTGGTCACATCACTTGAGGCCTCAGCGCTTTCCAGGCGAGTGGGAAACCATTGTGGGTGAGAGACAGACAGGTATGCCATGCAGAGAGAGTTTGGGTATTGAGTTTATTTAGTGGATTATGGAAGGGAAGGGAAAGAAGAAAAGGGGGGCAAGTGAGGGGGGAAGGGAGAGGAGAGAGAGGCAGCATCCACTTCTTCAGAAGAGGGATGGGAAGGGAGAGAGCATAGGCTGGAGGAGGCAGAAGATCCCCTTGTCTAGGTGTAAGGGGGGAGTGCATGGGCTTGTCTCTTAAAGGTACAGGGTACCCAGTCTAGCAGATCATAACAGGTGGCATGTGTGTTTGAATCTGTGGGCACACATAGAAGGGGTGTACATGTTTGTGTGTGTGTGTGTGTGTGATGGCACGAAGTTGACATTATCTTCCTCAGTTGCTCTCTGCTCTACCAAGGCAGGGTCTCTCACTGATTATGGACATTACTAGTTCTGACTAGGTTAGCTAGCTGGCATGCCCCATGAATCTGCTGTCTGTGTCTCCTGAATGACTGCGGTACAGGCAACCAACAAGCCTATCTAGTCTTTTTACATAGGTTCTAGAGATCTGAACTCCAATCCTCATGTTCACAGCACATACTTTATTTGCTTAGCCACCTCCTTAGCCTGATGGTCATGGGATTCTTATATTGACAGAAATCAAATTATTTATCCAAGTTGTATATAATGTGTGTATCATATACCATACAATGTGTGTTCTATCACCTCAATTTAAAAGATTAGGACTGGAACACTTCTACATTGCTGGAGGGAGTGCAAGCTGGTAAAACCCCTTTGTATGTCAGTGTGGTGATTTCTCAGAAAATTAGGAAACGACCTTCCTCAAGACCCAGTAATAACACTTTTGGGTATATATCCAAAGGATGCTCAACTGTGCCACATGGACTTGTGCTCAATTATCTTCATAGCAGTTTTGTTTGTTATATCCAGAACCTGGAAACAACCTAAATGCCCCTCGATTGAAGAATGGATAAGGAAAATGTGGTACATTTACACAATGGAGTACTACACAGCAGAAAAAAATAATGACTGCTTGAATTTTGCAGGAAAATAGATGGAGCTAGAAAACATTATTTTGAGTGAGGTAATTCAGACACAGAAAAACAATTATCACATGTACTCACTCATAGGTGGTTTTTAAACATAAAGCAAAGAAAGCCAGCCTACAAACCACAATTCCAGAGAACTTAGACAACAATGTTGACACTGAGAGACTTACATAGATCTAATCTACATGGGAAGTAGAAAAAGACAAGATATCTTTAGTAAATTGGGAGCATGGGACTTACATAAATCTAAGATCTAATCTATATGGGAAGTAGAAAGTAGAAAACCACAAGATCTCCTGAGTAAATTGGGAGTATGGGGACCTTGGGGAAGGATTGAAGGGGGAAGGGGAGAAACAGGGAGGGGAGCAGAGAAAAATGTAGAGTTCAATAAAAATCAATAAAAAAGATCAGGACTACCGTGCAAGAATACATGAGTATTCTTTAAGAGCAGAAATGTAAGTGAAGTTCAGAAACCATTTACATTAGTTTGTGCACAGAAGTGAGCACCAAGGATGGAGATTGAAAGCTTTATTTTTGTACACTTAAGACTAGTACTAGATTGTTTCAAGGAGCAAAAGTACTTTTGATTAAAAGGAACATCCAGTGGAATCCTTAAGAATAGGAAATAGCAGTGCTGTAAAAATAAAACATACAGGGGGATATAAACCAGAAAGGGAGACCACCAGGTAATGCACTATATTTTCTCAAAAATACACCAATGTACACCAATGTACTATGTCAGTAAGAATAGATCCTGCTTACCTTTTATAATAGCTTTTGAGTTTTTCACTGTTTAAGCACATTGTAATCTACTCAATTTTTTGTAGACAATTCTATGGTTTCTAAGTTATCTCTTTTTTGGGGGAAGGGGGAAGCTCCATGGTTCTAGAAGTGAAATTGTAGAAGAAAAGCATATACATATTGGCCCCATGCTTTTAGAAAGACTAACAATTTATATTCTCAGCTTGCCAGGAGTCTAAAGCAGTGACTCTCAACCTTCATAATGTTGTGACCCTTTAATACAGTTCATGTTGTGACCACAACCATAAAATTACTTTCATTGCTACTTCCTAACAGTAATTTTGCCACTGTTGTGGATCATTATGTAAATATCTGTGTTTTCTGACAGTCTTAGGCAACCCCTATGAAAGGGTTGTTTGACTCCCCCAGGGGTCATGACCCACATGCTGAGAACCATTGTTCTAAAGAATTATCTTCAGACACATCTGACAAGTCTTTCTTCAGGCAAGCATTAAAAATCAGTTTGCTCACCGGGTGGTGTTGGCACAGGCCTTTAATCCCAGCACTTGGGAGGCAGAGGCAGGAGGATCTCTGTGAGTTCGAGGCCAGCCTGGTCTACAAAGGGAGTTCCAGGACAGGCTCCAAAGCTACAGAGAAACCCTGTCTCGAAAAACCAAAAAAAAAAAAAAAACAAAAAAAAAATCCGTTTGCTCAGATTAGCAGTTGGCAGTGTTTCCGTCACTTTGTTAGATAATGTCATGGCTGTCGAACTAGAGTTGTATTATAGACAAAATTCCTGCTGGCTGGAGCTGGCTGGGGCTAAAGATGAGAAGAAAAACAACAACAACAACAATAAAGTAAGTCTTTTGTAGCTTCATGGAGACCGAAGAGCTTGAGTGATTTGCTGTGTCACCACCCGGCAAAGAAATCCCACGTCTATCTCCACGTTAGAAATGATTACAAACTCCTGGACCTAGGAAAGCATAGGGTGGGGAATGGATGGGATAACAGAAAGAGGAGGCAGGTTTCTTTGATCTAAATCATCTGACCTCAGATCTCTGGCGAACTCTGTTCATTCTCTCCACTCTGTCTGCCCACAACACACAAACAAGCACAACATACAGCCACTGTGGCAGCACACAAAGACGCCATCTTCTTCCTGCTTTAAGTGTGGACTTTCCACAGTTCCAGGTTATCCTAGAAGGTACTAGGCTATTGAGTAAAGCTACTCGAGATGACTCTAGCTAGGTGTATTCTCACCTGTTTCAAATTCTTTCTTGTTTTTTATTTTATTTTATTTTTGTGAGATAGGGTTTCGCTGTAATTTTTAAAATATTTATTTATTTACTTATTTATTATGTATACAATATTCTGTCTGTGTGTGTGTATGCCTGCAGGCCAGAGGAGGGCAGTAGACCCCATTACGGATGGTTGTGAGCCACCATGCGGTTGCTGGGAATAGAACTCAGGACCTTTGGAAGAACAGGCAATGCTCTCAACCTCTGAGCCATCTCTCCAGCACCTTTCGCTGTAATTTTAGAGCCTGTCCTGGAACTAGCTCTTGTAGACCAGGCTGGCCTCGAATTCACAGAGATCCACCTGACTCTGCCTCCCAAGTGCTGGGATTAGAGGCGTGTGCCACCTCCCCCTCCCCGCACCTGTTTCAAATTCTGCACTAAATTTGAATAGTCTATTGTTCACCACTTCAGTATAAAAGTTATACACAGAAAAAAAAAGTTATACACAGTAGATGTAAAGGTGTAGAAAACCTAATTATAGCTTTATATCTTAAAAAAATAAAGATTAAATGATTCCTTTAATTAACTGCCCAAGATCACTTAAGCATACCTGATTTATAATCACATAGATATGTGTACATATGTGCATAAGTGCCTGCAGAGGCCAGAGGCTTCAGGATCCCCTTAAAGTTAAATTACAGATGGTTGTGAGCTAACCAGCATGGGTCCTGGGAATCCGAACTCGTCCTAGTCCTTACAACTGAACCGTTTCTCTAGTCTCTCAAAATAACTTTTTAAAGGTTTTGTAGTTAAAGGAAAATTATTTGTCAACTTATGGCATCCTCAGTTAAGCAATGAGGGCTTAAATTATATAAGTACCGTATCTGTGTACTTTGTGTGGGAAAGTTATTAATATGCTTTATTCAGTCCGAGATTCCTGAGTGAACTTCCTGCCTTCACTCAGCCTAATTCTTTCCAATTTTACATTCTTCTTCCCACTAGGATCTCTCCCACCCCTTTTTTTTTAAATATTTATTTATTATGCACACAATATTCTGTCTGTGTATATGTCTGCAGGCCAGAAAAGGGCACCAGACCTCATTACAGATGGTTGTGAGCCACCCTGTGGTTGCCGGGAATTGAACTCAGGACCTCTGGAAGAGCAGGCAATGCTCTTAACTACTGAGCCATCTTTCCAGACCTCTCCCACCCTTTTTGTATCACACTCTCCCTCTGGTTCTTAGCAACTCCTGAAGCTCCGCCCCTCCTCGCTCGCCCCGCCCCCTATCCGCACCTTCAGCTAGTACCATTTCTTTTCAGTCTTCACAAGCCTCACCCCAGTGGCCCTAACACTCTTCGACGGCCCCGCCCCTTTCCGATGCCCCGCCCCAGTCCCTTTGCTCCTCCCCGATCCCGCCCAACTCGCTTCGCCCCGCCCCCAGGCGATCCGCCTACCTCTCGCTCCGCCCTCCGCCTCGCCTCCTCTCTCCTCTAGTCCCGCCCCTCTGACCCCGATGCTTCGCTCCAGTTCCTCCACTTGCGTGGGGCCCGGAGCCCCTCGCTTCCGCAGTCCCGTGACCCGCCCTTCCCCAAAGCCTCGCCCCTATCATCCCCGCTAGTCTCGCCCCGCGCTGCAGGTACCGCCCCGTTCGCACCGTTCGGCTAGCCCGGCCAAGCCGCGCCTTCCGGCTCCTCCCCTGCAGCACCTTTGCAAGTAGGCCCCTGCGCTCTGACGTCACACGCCGGCGACAGGGACGCGGGCCGTTCTTCTCTTCTCCCCCATCCTCAGCCCCAGGGTTTTGGGGCGGCTACGTGGGGCGTCCCTACCTTGAGCCGGTGCAGTTGCCCGCAGCCCGGAATCCATGGTCACTGTGGCGAGGCGGGAGGACGCGGGCGGCATCTAGCCCCCCCAGTCGCACGTGCTGCGGCTCCGTGCCCGGCCCTGCCTCCTGGCCCTGTGAAGTTGGGGGCGGTACCCCGTCACTCCCCCTGTGCCGCCGCCGTTTCCAAGGGGTCAGAAACCGCTGTGTTTGTGTCGTCCGCAGAGCCGGGCTCCGTGGTGCGGGCGTTGTGCCTGGCCGGCCGGAGGCGAGCGTGACGCATCAGCCGGAGACCCGTGCCAGGGCTGTGAGCGGCTGCTGGGGAGACAGACTCGCTTTCTCTTTCAGCATGCCTTTTTCAAAGTGCTCCGTGGTGCCGCTGCCTTAAGCCCTAGGGGAAGACCCTACTGCCTCTGCACCGGTGCTTATGGTCGCCACTGTTATTCTGAATCAAGTACCTTGTCATTGAGGTGAGTTTCTCATGGGGGAAGCAGTGGTAGGCAGGATGGTGAAGTCACTGGGAGCCGGGAGACTTGTGTGGACGCTCTGTAAAGTGCATGGATGCCCTCCCAAGTGTTTGCATGTGAAGCACCTTCAGCTCATTAAAATGTAAACTCGTCTCTCCAAGCAGTTCTTTGATATAAAATGACAATGCAATCTTAGTGGATGATAAGCAGTCATTTAAATGGATTAGATGCCTTTGATGTTATCTGTGTATTTTAATGAGAAAATGAATAACAGTTAACTAATTAACCTAAAAGCTAATGTATCACTTCTCTTCATGATTTGACACAATTTCCATGTGTAAAGTATTCAAATTTTTACTACTTTAAATAATTTAGTGGAACTTTGGGGAGGGTTCCTGGGGATTGGATACAGGACTTCATTTTTTCTAGGCAGGTTATCTGCCCGATCAATTTTTTTTCTCTCCTGTAAGACCTCCGAGAAGCAGAAATATTTTTATTGCCTACATAAATCACATCAGAAATGTTTGTGAAGGCTTAAAAGCCCTAGTCCGTCTAAGCGCTAATGATGGGCTTTTCTTAAGATGCAGTAAGTAGAGATGAAGGGCTGCAGCCAAACACAAAGAGTAGTTCTTTGTTTCTAATTTTGAGAATCTGGATGTCTGCAGTTAAAATTGTCTCTTCTAGGGAAACCCGAGTAACCTATTTTGTGGGGAAACTGGTTTTTACACAGAAAAAAGTCTGTTAGAAATCTGATAAAAGCTGTGGAATTTCATCACAGAAGTTCTTTTGAGGTCATATTAATAATACATTAGCATTGTATCCCAAGCAGATTTTACTCTCTAGTCTGCTTTCTTTTCTAAATTATGGACATAATAGCTTTTCATGCATATTAAGTTTGTCTTTGTATGTTGGTAGTTTCTACCTCAAACTCCTTGAATGTTGCCTGAACATATTTACCAAGGAGAAAACACATACTGTAAAAAATAAATAGTAGCAATCCTCTATTTTGTTTTCTAATTTTTTCTCAGTTATGAAAAATAGAGAAGGATTTTCCTCTCTGAGAAGATACATTGACCCTTTCTACAGTTCAGGCTGTTTCTATTGTTTTGGAAGAACTGTGTGTTTAGACTGCCTGTAGGCGAGTACCAGGAAATTTCTTGGCATCTGTTTTCATCTATTCCTAATGTTTCCCTTTGGAATAACCTGTCCATCAAATATCTGAAACAGCTTTGCTTACTGCCAGTCAGTATGTGTTTTCCTGATTGATGGAGATGCAGTTTTAAATTCATGTAATCTGACAGTTTTCACATGTGGTTCATAATATTGTGTCAAACATTGCTTATTTTTAATAGTTCTTAAAAAGGAAGATACCTAATTTGTCTAGAGCTACGGGATTAAAAAGCAACATGATATTGTGGCAAAACTTTAAATGTTAAGGTAAAAAAGTTTGGACATTGTTTGAGGTTTTTCTCCTTCAATGTTAAGGATTAGTCCCAGGGTCTGGTGCGCTCTAGGCAGGTGCTTCTGCTGCCAAGCTGTATCCCCTTTCCTGTTCAGATATTTAAGTAGGGCCAGCAAGATTGTCACCAAGCCCGATCAGTCTCCATGACCTACCTACATGGTGGAAGAAAAGAACTGACTCCCACAAGTTGCCCCCCCCCCCCGCACACACAGTCTGTCTGTCTTTCTAAATACATACATTTTAAAACATTTAAAAATTAAAGTGAAAAAATTGATTTGCTCAGTGTTCTTCCTACTTGTATCAGTATACATGGCTTATTAAAAGTTTAACTTTATTATTTTGACTAGCTAATCAATTCTTATAGTTCAAAATTCAGACAATACAAAAGATCAAAGAATTCTCAACTGTTCACTTCCCTTTTTAAAAGCAATATTACTAGTTTTTGTGTCCTTACAGAACTATTTCTTCTATAAATGTGTTTGTTGCCAACTTGATACAAATCTAGACATATCTTGGAAAAGGGAGTCTCACTTGAAGGCTTGCCTCAGTCAGATTGTCCTGTACATGTCTGTGAGCATTTTCTTGATTAACGATTGGTGTGGGAGAGCTCAGTCTACTGTAGGTGGGGCCACCATTAGGCGCATGGTCCTGGTTGTATAAGAAAGCCAGTTGATGCAGGTGGTATATGTTATTATCTTTTCTTTCACTTCATTTGAAACTGTTTTCTAGTATAATAAATTAGTTGTAAAGTCTAACAACTATGAAATAGGTATCTTGTTTTCCTTCTGATTTACATTGACTGCAGAAAAGGAGAACTTGTCATGTGTTCCAAAACTCATTAACATGAATCTGATTGCTCAGAAAGGTACCTGTTGGTAGAGGCTGCTTGTTTGTTCCTGGTCGCCCAGACACGAAATAATCACACAGAAACTATATTATTTGCAATGCTGTTGGGCTAATAGCTTAGTTGTATTGCTAGCTAGCTCTTATATCTTAAATTAACCCATTTCTATTAATCTTTGTATCACCATGTGGTTGTGGCCTACCAGTAAGGTTTCTTCTGGCATCTCCTGCTGTAGCTGTATGGCTTCTCCTTTGATATAGGTATGAATAATTTGCATTAGTATAGATTTTGCTTTATTGATAGAGATTTAAGGTCAATTTTGTTATATATATATATATATATATATAAGTGTTTCTGATTTTGATTAAGGTATTGTGATTGTGTAGTTCATTTAAATATGTACTGTATAATTAAGAAATATAGGTTGTTAATGGATAATCATCGATAATAGTAAAGCTTGTAGTCATGTTAGTTAGATTTTCTAGATATATAGAGATTTATTTTAGATAGACATTCTTCATGTCTTTCAAAGATTACAGAATAGGACATTTAATGTTTTAATAACTGAGGACTTTTCATGACAATGAGACACTCTGCTCCTGGCAGCACCAATGTACTTCAAGAGGAAGATGGGCATCGAAGAGGCTCGTTATTGAGTTTGGTAGCCATTTGGGCAAGAAACTGCTCTTGCCTGGACTATTGCATAAACTGGACACAGAGAACCCACAGAGAGAGGACTACTGAACTTGCCTAAGGTGAGATGATCTTTCGGGGTTCCTGATTCATTTTGAAAGAGTCTGCGAGACATTCTGCAGGACACAACAGATAGTGACTGAACTGACTTTGAATTTTCCTGCTTTATGGAAATGTCTGCTGGATAGCATGGGCCTGAAGGCTGAAGATGGATGCCCCAACGGTACAGAGGAACTTTGGGTGACTGTCCAGGCAGCGCGATGTCTTTGTCATTTCTAGAGTTTGAAGTTTCTTGGTTCTTGTTTACTTAGGTAATATTATATCTTTCTGGAGTCTTTGATGGAGTTAAGAATAGTTAGTTATAGTTATAGTTTTCCTTAGTTATGATAAAGATTATTGTAACTTTTACTTGATAACTGTTTTGTTATATGTAATTTTGCTATGTTAAAGTTAAAGCTTTTTTTTTTTTTTTTTTGGTTTAAACCGAAAAAGGGGAAATGAGGGAGGAAGCTCATTGGCTAATAAAGGAACTGCCTTGGCCCATTTTATTGGTTAGAGAATAGGTAGGAGGAGTAAACAGAACAGAACGCTGGGAGGAAGAGGAAGTGAGCTCAGACTCCACAGCTCTCCTATCGGGAGCAGACGCCTCAGAGAGAGAGACGCCATGCCCTGCTCCCAGGCAGACACATGCCATGAAGCTCAGACCCATGATGGACTAGGCTAGAATCTTCCCGGTAAGACCGGTTCTCACAGATTATTAGAGATGGGATGATCGGGATATCAGAATTAGCCAATAAGGGCTAGAGCTAAAGGGCCAAGCAGTGCTTAAAAGAATACAGTTTCCGTGTAATTATTTTGGGTAAAGCTAGCCGTGGGGGCGGCCGGGTGCCGGGGATGCAGCCCCGCCGCTCTTATTACTACACTCCTTGACTCTGCCTCTCTCTCCTCCTCTATCTGCTAAGCCACTGTCTGAAACAGCTTTATTTATTAACCAAGAAAAACAACACATAGACAGGACTTCCCACACCATTGATAAACAATGTGTTTATCATTGTTTGATGGCAATTAGAATTATTTTCTTTTTACCAAGAGCAATAAATTTGGCTTTACTGAATTAGAACCACAAAGCTCAGTATGTGGATGGCAATAGAATTACAGAATAGGAACACTAATAGGTTCTGCCTTTTTGGTATAGTATCTAGAAAGGAATTGACAATTAAATTTGGAAAAAGAGCCAAATTGACAAATTTTGTTTTCTCCTCTCTTCGAAAAACGTCACAAAACAATGATGGTTATGAAATAACCTCATGATGTGGCTATTATTTAATGTAATTTTATTTCATGGAATTGAGTCTTCTAAGATAAGTTTATCATCTCTAAGTAGTGTAGTATTATGATACATTGAGCTTCCATGTTCTGGGAATAGCATTAAGTTTTGGCTGATTCCCAGATACCCATTATACTATGCCAGTTGATTCAATGTAGGCCATGTTTGGAATGACTTTTCCTCTCTATCCTACTGTTGATGGCTGGATTTTTATGATAATATTTTAATTCTTAGTTCTCTTAAAGTTGCTAAAAGAATTTTTATTATAGAAATTGAAATGAGATCTGATTATAATGTTTATTAATGTTGAGGAAGGTTCTTTTTTCACAAAATTTAACAAGATAATTATCAATTTTACTACAGGCTGGATTTTAACTTTTAGTTTTCAGGACTATATTATGAATTCTGTAACTTAACAAAATCGAACCTTTTTAAGGGAAATTTAAAAATTTAGTATTGGTGGATGAGGTGGTGAACTGTGGCAGAAACTTTAAGTTTCCTGAAAGCCCATTTCCTCCTAGAAGGGAATTATACATTGGAATGTGCTTGCTGTGAATGGAAACAGAGCATCTTGGGTGAATAAAGTATTAGTTTCAGACTAAAATAGTGAATTTATGTATTCTGCAGAAGAGAACTCTTTCCCCTGGCTGTGTTGATTACTGCTTTTATGACTTTCACATGCTTCCTTTCTTAAGCTCTCATTAACTAGTGTATTTTTTCTGACTTATCCTAAAATTATAAGTGTTAAAGCTATTGTATTAGTCATGATTCTCTAGAGAAACAGAATAGATGGGGGTTTATTAGAATGGCTTACAGGCTGTCGTCTAGCTAGCCCAACAATGGCTGTGACCAGATGGAAAAGCAAAGAATCTTGTCCACAAGGTTAGTCTTCAATCCTGAAGATGAAGTTTTTAATGCCAGTGAAGGGGTGCTTCAGCAGTGGGCTAGATGAGCTTGCCCTCAGGAGTGCAGGCAAGCAGGTAAAGAGCCAAAGCGTCTGTCCTCCATGGCGTGGCGGTAGGCAGGAAGGCATGGCGTAGTACTGGAGTGGTAGTTGATACCTTTATATCCTTTTATGTGGACTGTCACCAAAGATGTAGCCCAGATTTTAGGATGGGTCTTCTGATCTCAAGTGATGCAGATTTGGAGTGGGTCTTCCCACCTCAAATGATCCAGCCAAGAAAATCCCTTACAGGCGTGCCCAGCTGCTTGGGTTTTAGTTGATTCCAGGTATAGTCAAGTTGACAACTAGGATTAGCCAAGCTACTAACAACTTTATCTTGGTTGGAAAATCTTTGAGGTATACTAATCAAGCCAGTTCATATTAAGCTGGGAGTGGAGGTACACACTTGTACCCTAGCATTTAGGACTGAAAAGGAGGACAGTTAGTTTGAGACCAGCCTGGATTACATTAAAAACCTGTCTCAAAAATAAAGTTTTTACTTTTATGACAGATGAATATTTCATTAAATAGTAAGGTTTTGCATACTAATAAAAGACTATGCAAGTAGAACTGGGCAAACAGTTTACAGGAAGTACAAATGTTGAATAAATATGGAAGAAATTTTCAGATTTATCAGGAAGCAGAAGAATTGAAATGTAGCACTGTCCATCAGAAACAGGAACACAGTGACACATGCCTTAGGTCGTTCTTGGTGTATTGCTTTAATTACCCTCACAGTGATTCTTTAAGGGCATACTGTGTTTATCACATTTATAGGTGAATAAATTGAGATACAGAAGGCATTAGTGTAAGGCAGTGGTTCTCAACAGCTCTGATACTGCACCTTTTAGTGCAGTTCCTCATGCTGTGGTGACCCCCAATCATAAAATTATTTTGTTACTACTTCACAGCTGTAGTTTTGCCACTGTAATGAATTATATTGTAAATATCTCATATGTAGCTATCTGATATGCAACCCCTATTCAACTGCCCAAGAGGTCGCAACCCACAGGTTGAGTACCACTGGTCTAAGGTCATGTGACAAGTAATATAACCAGGACATAGCTCTGTCTTAGTGTTGTGTGGAGACACAGTGACCAAGACAACTCTTACAAAGGAAAGAATTTAACTAGGGACTTGCTTATGGTTTCATAGGGTTAGTTTATTGTGAAGGGAGCATGGCGGCAGGCAGGAAGGCATGGCACAGTGCTGGAGTGGTAGCTGATACCTTTACATCCTGATCCACAGGCAGGTCTGCAGAGGAAAGTGGGGCACTGAGCCTGGTATGGTCATGTGAAATCTCAAATCCTACTCCCAGTGATAAACCTCCTCCAACAAGGCCACGCCTTCTAGCCTTCTAAAGAGTTCTTCACCTGGGGACTAAAAATGCAAGTATATGAGCCTGTGGGGCTGTTCTTACTCAAACCACCACAAGCTCTAGGGTCCAGTGCTCTTTTTAGACACTGAAGTTTGTTATAACTGCAAGTGCAGATGTCAGTGGGGGCATGTGTGCCATGCGCATGTGTGGAAGCCAAGCAGCAACTTTGTGGAGCTTTCTCCTTCCAGGGATCCAACTCTGCTCTCCAAACTTGCTTAGCAAGTGCCTTTAACCCACTGAGCCATCTTGCAGGCCAGCTCTTTAACTACTGCCTTTTGTTGCTTCTTTGATATCTTTATAAAGAATAGCCACTGTTGGTAAGAGTGTTTAAGAGTTAGCATTTTATACAGTATTGGTTACCGTAGTAGATGTTTACCACTCTAGTGGGTCTGTGAACCGGAGAGAGTGGGGCCTAAAGAGGAGGTGGGTCGAAGTCTCATGCGATAGCCACCTTTATTCAGAGCAGCAGAAGTTTATACTCTGAGGGCTGAGTCACATGAGTAAAGAGTACAATCACGGGAAAACATTTTTTCCACAGAACAGATGAATGACAGCAGCTGAAATAAACACTACACCTGGATTAAGCATGACAACACATGCTGGCACAACTGGATGTCAACCTGTAGAAGAATGAAAATAGACCCATATCTATCACCATGCACAAAACTCAAGTCCAAATGGATTAAAAACCTCAATATCAGTCTGAACACACTGAACCTGATAGAAGAGAAAGTGGGAAGTACCCTACAACAGATGGGCACAGGAGATCGCTTCCTAGGTATAACCCCAGCAGCACAGACATTAAGGGCAACATTGAATAAATGGGACCTACTAAAACTGAGAAGCTTCTGTAAAGCAAAGGACACTGTCACTAAGACAAAAAGGTAACCTACTGACTGGGAGAAGATCTTTACCAACCCTGCAATAGACAAAGGTCTGATCTCCAAAATATATAGAGAACTCAAGAAACTAGACTTTAAAATGCTAATTAACCCAATTAAAAAATGGGCACTGAACTGAACAGAGAATTCTCAACAGAAGAAGTTCAAATGGCTAAAAGACACTTAAGGTCATGCTCAACCTCCTTAGCAATCAGGGAAATGCAAATCAAAACAACTTTGAGATATCATCTTACACCTGTGAGAATGGCTAAAGTCAAAAACACCAACGATAACCTTTGCTGGAGAGGCTGTGGAGGAACGGGTACCCTCATCCATTGCTGGTGGGAATGCAATCTTGTGCAACCACTGTGGAAAGCAGCATGGCGGTTTCTCAGGAAATTCGTGATCAACCTACCCCTGGACCTAGCCATACCACTCTTGGGAATATACCCAAGAGATGCCCTATCATATGACAAAAGCATTTGTTCAACTATGTTCATAGCAGTATTATTTGTATTAGCCAGATCCTGGAAACAACCTAGATGTCCTTCAATGGAAGAATGGATGAAGAAAGTGTGGAATATATACACAGTAGAGTACTACGCTGCGGTAAAAAACAATGACTTCTCGAATTTTGCATGCAAATGGATGGAAATAGAAAACTCTATCCTGAGTGAGGTAACCGAGACCCAAAAAGATGAACATGGGATGTACTCACTCATAATTGGTTTCTAGCCATAAATAAGGGACACGGAGTCTACAATTAGTGAACCTAAAGAAGCTAAATAAGAAGGTGAACCCAAGGAAAAACACATAGTTATCCTCTTGCCTATGGGAAGTAGACAAAATTGCCGGGGAGAAAAGTGGGATCTTGGGGGTGTGGTGGGTTGGGGGTAAGGGGAGATGGGGAGAGAAAAGTGATAAGGGGAGAATGGGGGGAACTTGGGGAAACAGGATGATTGGGATAAAGGAAGGCTGGATAGGGGAGCACGGAAGCACAATTCTTAGTTAAGGGAGCCACCTTAGGGCTGGCAAGAGACTTGAACCTAGAGTGGCTCCCAGGAGCCCAAGGCGATGTCCCCAGTTAGTTCCTTGGGCAGATGAGGATAGGGAACCTGAAACAACCCTATCCTATAGCAATACTGACGAATATCTTGCATATCACTATAGAACCTTCATCTGGTGATGGATGGAGATAGAGACAGAGACCCACATTGGAGCACCGGACAGAAATCTCAAGGTCCCAATGAGGAGCAGAAAGAGGGAGAAGATGAGCAAGGAAGTCAGGACCACGAGGGGTGCACCCACCCACTGAGACAGTGGGGCTGATCTATTGTGAGTTCACCAAGGCCAGCTGGACTATGACTGAAAAAGCATGGGATAAAACTGGACTCTCTGAACATGGCGAACAATGAGGGCTGCTGAGAAGCCAAGGACAATGCCACGGGGTTTTGATCCTACTTAATGTATTGGCTCTGTGGGAGCCTAGCCAGTTTGGATGTTCACCTTCCTAGACATGGATGGAGGGGGGAGGACCTTGGACTTTCCACAGGGCAGGGAACCCTGACTGCTCTTTGGACTGGAGAGGGAGCAGGAGAAGAGTGGGGGGAGGGGGAGAAGGGTGATAGGAGGGGGAGAGAAATGGGAGGCTGGGAGGAGGGGGAAACTTTTTTTTTTCTCAATAAAAAAAAAAAAGAACAGTTCTGTGTTTTGATAAAATCGAGGTCACAAGACTGTGTTTTCTTGGAGTTTTCTCACAAGCACTCAGGAATTCTCACAATTCTCACATGCCTTCGTTCTTGGACCATGTTCTGACAGATTTCTGCAAGATGCTTAAGTAATATGTTTGCAAGCTTTAATTAACACCTGCATTGTCTTTGATTTCAGATTTTATCCTAAGAAAATCCTTACAATAAATAACAAAATATACGTACAGAAATTTTAGCTTCAATTTTTGAAACAACTTTGAAAAATTGTCTTACTAAGCTTTATTCTTATTAAAATAATAAAATTATGCTACTTGTTCATGTAGGAAAAAGATTGCCTTTATGTGCCTGTGTTGTAAATATGTTTACTGCTGGATACTTCAAAGCATTCTAATAAAACTGAAACATCAATATTTCTTGTTTTGTTCTAAGTGTGAAGTGTAAGTTTCAGTCAAGATATTAAATATCTTTGTATTAAGACTTGCCTAATCTCTGCTAATTCTTTTGCATGTAGCTACCCTATAAAAATGCCTTAAGAAAGAGCCATGGAGAAGTATGTTAGACTACAGAAGATTGGAGAAGGCTCATTTGGAAAAGCTGTTCTTGTTAAGTTCACGGAGGATGGCAGGCATTATGTTATCAAGGAAATTAACATTTCAAGGGTAAGTACATTTTTACTTTGTTTGCAGAAGTAGTAATTTGGTCACCCTAGGATCAAATATTAAATATTTATTATTTATCAGAGAAACACATAACCTAGTGAGGAAGAGTGCTATGATCCCATCAGGACCACTACGTCACTGGAGTCTGTGTGTCCTTTCAGATTTTTTCCTTTTCGTTCCTGTACGGTATGTAGAAACATATACTTACAGTCCTGTGACTCACTGTAGATTGGCCACGCTTAATGGGCTTCACTTACGGATTCAGTTCATTCCTTTGTAACATACTGCTATAGTTTTTAATGTTTGTTATTGTTACCGTGCTGTATTAGTAGCATTTTTAACCACTCTCTTATAGGTGGACTTTTACCTTTATTAGTGGCTTTACTATTTTCTTCCATTTAAGATGTCCGGCAAAGAACGGCAGGAATCAAGGAGAGAAGTTGCAGTGTTGGCAAACATGAAGCATCCAAATATTGTCCAATATAAAGAATCCTTTGAAGGTCAGATATATTTTGCAAACATTTAAAATAAGCTCTAAGATACTTACAACTTTTGGGTATTTTCCTTTAAGGATTTTTTTTGTGAATGTATTTTCGGTAAAAATACTTTTTGTTTTTGTTGTTTCATAAATATACATGTTAGTATTAGTTTGATTTTAGGATAGTAGTGATACCCTCATAGCTTAATATTGACTTACTGTTATTAACAATTACTTAAGAAGAAGCAGTATAGTACAAAAATTTTGAGTGGGCAAAATTAATAGCAACATTTTAACCTTAAATTTCCCTATAAGTATTTCTACTGACACTGAGAAAATGTTCTGATCTTGATTTTTGTAAAAACCATTACCTTATTTTTGATGATTTCATATATGCATATAACTTAATCATATTCCACCTGCAGCCCATTGCGTTCCTCTTCCAAGCACTCCCTTCCTACTTTCATGTCTTCTCTTTTTAATAACCCACAGACTTTAACTAGGGTTGCTTGCATGTGGACAGGTATGGGGTGCTGGCTGAAGGAGTTCCCACAATGTAGTCGTGTCAAAGACTTCCATAATGGGGTTATTTCTTGGGCAGTTTACCAGTGATGACAGCCCTGAGGAAAAATGACTCGTCCTTGCCCAGTAGCCTTTAACTACCATATATCCTCTTCTAGGAGTGGGTCCTCATGGGCCCTCCCAGTCCATCCTAGAACGTGGTGAACAGGCCCATCTGCACCTAGGAGTCATCTGAATGATTCAAATGTACTTCATTTTAAGCATTACCTGTCACCATATATGTTCAGAAGGCATAGACAGGCATGACTACAAGTTCTCGGTTCTTCTAAGTTCACCTTCATTCGAACTCCCTAGGAATTAGTGTGGTTGACAGCCAGTGTTGATTCTTAGCCTGTTTTCTGTGCCTACATGACATGTGCTGTGTTAGGGAAACAAAGTGCTTGGTTTTTCTCTCTGTCCTGGCACCACAATTCTGAAGACTTCTGTAACTCAAAAGCTGTGGGAGTCTTTCCAGTAGCAAAGAAGCAGCTGTACAGTGGATAGCAGCTAGAAGCCCACTAATCCAGTCCACATCAGACACTGTCTACTTGCGGGGAGACTGGGGACAATACTGGTCCACGCTGTCCCTATTTCAGACCCATTAGCCAGTGCAGAGCTGTGAATTTCTGCCAAATAAGCTACAATGGACTTTCCCATGACCGCCCTTCAGATCTGATCAACTTGCTCCAGCAGCTCACAGAACTCTAGGAAACACTGCACTTGAATTATAGCTAAGACATGCCATACATATATAGCACACGTATGTCTTTTATAATGAACACAAATTCACACCCAGACTGTTAGAAAACAGTAATTACAATGTCTGGGGCTTTTGGCTTCTAAACTTAGTAGTGGTAAAGGAAAGGTGCTAGAAATAGCCAAGCAGTGCGCTTGGACTGAGTTTTCTATTTCATGTCCCGTTAATGTTTCTGTTGTGCTCTTAGTTATTCTCTGTCTATGTCACTGGCTTATGTGGTTTTTGTGTTTTGTTTTGTTTCAACATCAAGCAGTTTCTAAGGTAGTAGTTTTGGGTTTTAGGGGTCCTTTAAAAGCCTGTAAGGCTATTAGTGATGAAGGGGTTTTTGTGTATCTGTAGTCCTGTTCAAATTAATCTGACAAACAGGTGGTGGTATGATGTTAGAAAGAATACAAAACAGATCATTACCCCTCTAACGAAGGAAATCCTTTTCTGTTAATGATATTTTTATGTAGGTATTGATTTAAACCTGGGCGTGGTGCCACACCTGCAATACTAGTTAGTACTAGGGAGGGAGAATCAGGAGGATTGTGAGTTTGAAGTCAGCCTGGGTAACATCTGGAGAGACCTTGACAAGCAGGCATGCAAGCAGGGGGTAGATGAGTGGGAGCACGGGGAGAGGGAGATGGGAAGGGGAGAGAGAAGGAGAGAACAAATGAAAATTTGCTCCAATAGAGAGCTGAGTAGCAGAAAATATAGCTAATTCATATACTGAATCCCCGACATTACTCAAATTTCTTTGTGTTCTGTGTAACTTCTGTAGTCTCACCTCTGTTTCCCCATCTTCCATTGCTGGAGATCAGATATGTGGCCGTTTTCATTCACATCACCATGCAGGGCCTCTGCATAGTCCTGACTGTCTGGAACTCAACAGAGATCGGCCTGCCTCTGCTTCCTGAGTGCTGGTTTTAAAGGCATGTGCCACTGCGCCTGGCCACTTCATCTGAATTCTTACTAGAGTTTAATGAAGAGAATGAATAAGTAAATTATTTTCTCCTTATTCCCATGAGCCTTCTGCAATAGATAGTTTGTGCCCACAGTTTAACACTTTTACTTCTTTAAAGAATAAAGATTCTGAGCGCTAATACATAAGAATGTGTGTTATAGATTATTTAGATTATTAATTAACATAGATTATTATTAACATAAGTTACAGAATTACTCAAACTG